GCACTGGACCCAGCTAAAAGTGATCTTTCTAAAGTGAAAATCCAATCATGCCTATACTCTACATAAACCCCTGGAGTATCCCTCCATTGCTCTTGGTATAAAGACCAAAAGACTCACCATAGCATGCAAGATCTTCCAAGCCTTGCCCACCTTTCTAGGCCCTTCTCTTGCCCCTCACACTGTAAATTCAGCCACCTAAACTACTTGCAGGTAAAAGTAGTCATCGGCCTTCTTCTTAGTTCTCTGCATTTAAACATGACAGTGCTTCTGTTCAGAATGTTCAGCTGCCTAATCTTTGTTAGTCTTACAGAACAGTTCAATTATTACTTCCTCTAGGACTTTCAGAGGTTCACGGCATTTAACCTGTCGTGAAAGGTTTTTTTTCCTATCCTGAACACTGGATTGTATATGTCTTGAACAGAGGTTGCATCTTTTTTTAATATTCATTTTTTTAGTTGTATGTGGACAGAATATTTTTATTTTATTTTTATGTGGTGCTGAGGATCAAACCCAGTGCCTCTTGCATGCTAGGAGAGCACTGTACCATTGAGCCACAACCCCAGCCCCAGAGATTGCACTTAGACAACAGCGTTTAGCTTTATTACAATATACTTCCTAATACTTTACACATCTTATTTTTCCTCCATAGTATTCATCCCTCTTTGGAGTCATGTGGTTTACTGTCTGTCTTCTCTGTCAAGGCAACCTCTTTAAAGAATTTGTCTTGACCATTGACATTCCCTAGCACACTTTTGGGTACATCATGGACATTCAATAAATATTCGTTTAATGAGTTATACTTGCAAAGCCAAGTAGAGGGTCCAGCAGACACTCAAGATTATAGATCAAAGGCACCACAGACGGAGAGATGCACTGCCTTTTTATGCACCATTAGAAAAGGAAGAGGAAAGCCTCCCCCAAAATGACATAATGTTTAATGAAATAATGGCATCATGCTTTCTTAGACTTTTTTTTTATATTTGGTGTGAGAAACATATTAAGTTTTAAACATTTAGTTAATCTTTCTTGCACATGCATATATAAAGGAAAACAGAAGCCAAAGAAATTAGTTCCGTTTCTTCATTGTCAGAGTCTAATCAGTCATAGACTCTGACAATGAAGAAACGGAACTAATTTCCTCTCATATTCAGAGTGGTCAGTTGTCTATGACTTTCCTTTTATGCCATCCCGGTGGTTGGTGCTACACCATTTCTTGGAAGAGTCTCCACAAACCACGGATTTTCTTCCAACCCAGAGATACCTACCATTTTTCAAGTTCTGAGATTACTGCATTGTTGATCTTAGCAAGTGCTAGATGACCTCAATTCGGAAGTCTTCCTCAAATGATCTTGAAACGTCAGTTAAAAGAAACATAAAGGGCTCAGTTACCCTAGTACATCACCAGTAATAACTGCCAACTGGAACCTCATTATTACTTATGACCAACGGTAACTGTAAGCCATCAGTGTTAAAATTGATTACAATTTCGGAGATAATAAAATGTGAATAAGTGTCTGGCTTAGAATTGATGCAATATAATAGCAAGTGCTTAATAAGTATTGTCAAATAAGACTGAAGAGAAGAAGCATACAGAGAAATAGTTCTAAGTTACTCCTCAAGGCTTAAACAGTCTCATTTTCAAATTCTGCTTTAATTGACTGAAAATATGCTATGTGCTCTTTCTTGATTTATTAATGTACATTATCTCATTTAATTTATTAACATATACAAACTTTCCATGTGTTTTTGACAGCTTTTTCATTGCTGTGACCAAAAAACCTGACAAGAATAATTTTAGAGG